ATAATTGGAATAACGTCTGTTTTGTCCTCTGAGACCAATGTTTAGTGAATACGTTGTTGAGAGCGAGTGCGTCAACTTCTCCTGTCGCTATATGATAAATGGACGCTTAAAAAAAATCTAGCCAAAAAGGAAAAGCCAAGCATCAACACCACTAAATTTAACAGGTCCTTCAATCTCATTTGAAAAAAAATAAGCAAAAGTACATTCTACAATCTATCCTAGTTATTTTGCCCGGGCCCGATGGGTAATGGTTTGTAGAGCTTCTCAAGCTTTTTCGTAGGCCTAGACATTCACAAAGCTCTTCTATGCTCATTTGAAAGGTTCGATAGAGCTCTCATCAGAAATATTTATCATTATTCTGCCTACAGCCGATTCCTGCGTTTGTTTATGCAGCTAGGTTTCAGAGAAGTTGAACTACTTGTAATGTGTTTTATCCTTATCTGACTTCTTGTCATCTTTGTAGAAAAAGGTAAGATTTCTCTAGCTCCTATTTTTTTTGTAATGCATCTTCAATACGCTTTTTTTTTAATGCTTAATACCTTTATAGTGCTTGACTGTTAATTCTACTGACTATAATTAAGATTGTTGAACCTCAAAAGCTCGTGGATATCAATTTTTCGAAGTTTTTATGGACGGTCATGGATCTCTGGAGTATAAAACAACTCTTGGTTTTAATAAACCTCAGCAGTTACATCGAAACCCATTAATCGAGGGACATCCGGAAAATCCAAGCAGAATCGATGTTTGCCGTAATCTCCTCACAGAAAGTGGATTGATAAAAGAATGCCAAGAAATTGATGTGAGACATTTGGCTTCCGCTATCTCGTCGTCTCAATTTCTAATTCAGACATTCCCCTCCTTGGACGATTTGGACCTAAGGCAAACACATGCCGAAGGCCATGTGAATAGGCTGTTGAAAGAAGCGATCTCCATGGACCAGGAGTCGTTAAATCTTCTTTGTGAAGACTATGACTCAGTGTTCATGACACCGGTTTGCTTCACCCATCCTTTCTGATTTTTTCACCTTGGAATTCCATTTTGTAGGGTTCGGTGGAAGCCGCAAAGTCAGCGGTATCTTGCTGCCGTTGGTTAGCTGAGAACATTGTTGAGGATAAGGTAAACTTCCAAACCTTACTTTCTTTAAGAGTATCTTCAGCAACTTTGAGCTTCTTTTCAGATCCCAAATGCATTTGCCCTTGTTCGACCGCCAGGGCACCACGCTGATCGTTATTCTGCATGTGGTTTCTGCCTTTTCAACAACGCCGCACAAGCCGCCGAGGCGGCTTTCAACTTTGGAGCTGATAGGTTTATAACATTTTCTTTAATTCTTGCTCGAAACGCATCTGTCTTGCTCATCCAATGAAACAAACGTAGCCACTAATATTTTCATCAGAATTTTTATTAATCGGTTGGAATGAATTACAAAGTTTTGCTTTTGAATCTGAAAT